TCCCCCAATTCCCCAGCGCTGTTCCCATCCCCCAATTCCCTAATAAAAATCTTTAAAAAAAAAGAAAACACAACACTTGCAAAGGTAACAATTACATTCTAAGCTTATTAAGAGTTAGAAGGCAAGTCCAGTATTACTAGATCACCTGTTAATCTCTTCTTTTTTTAAGATTAGGGTTGCTGCAAGCTACCTTCTTGGTCCAGGAACACATCCTCGACCTCTTCCTGGGTTTTAAACCTCTTTACAATTATTGAAGGTATCCCAGTTCATAAGCTGTGCAGTCAGCATTGTTATTTATGGCCATCTGAACCACAGATCTGAAAAGCATCTTTATGTCTATCAGTCAATTCCTTTGAAATTTATTGAAGAGCAAAGATAGTGAAAAATATCCAATGATTGAGTTGAAAACAAGAACGATTTTTTGTCTTAGTCACTCTCTCATATGATGCCTCAGTTTACCTATGGGCAGTTTGGGAATTGTAAGGCCTTTTTTTGGTAAAGATTCTGGGATGGAAGGCCACATAGGAAGGCTTTGTATCTCTCATTGTGAATTTTGTACGTAACAGGTTTCCATGCCAAAAAAAAGTTTCTAATAGTTGAAGCAAATGTTTTGGAGAAGGTTGTGGTTAAATGTCTGTTACTGTGTTTGCCGAACAAAATGTAGGGATACATTTTTTTTAGATGAAAACGTCCTATCTCAACAAGTTACAACAATATTTCCCCACTGCCACCTTCCCTTATAATTTTTAAATTAACATTTTCCTGACACAAAAGTATTGTCCTAGAGTTTTATAGAAGAAAAGCGGGGAAATTTAGAAAGCATAAACAAGAAAAGCAAAACCACTCACAGCCAGCTTCTCAGAGGTAACTATTATTAACATCTTAGTGATCATTTTAGATCTCCGCTTACAGATATGTGTACATGTAGATTAGATATACACAGTTTCTGCATAGATGAGATAATGCAAAGTATTTTTGTAATCTGCCTTTTTCCTGAAGAATATATAGCGGATATACTTCTATACTGATAAATATGAATCAGCTTTAATGGCTAAGTGGCATTCTACAGTTATGGGTGTATTTACTGTAACCGGCTTGGATAATTGCCTATTGGTGTATTTTAAGTGCTTTGTACTTTTCCGCTATTACAAAGAATGCTTAGCCAAACATTCTTATGTATGTATCTTGTCTTGCCAGAGTGTCTCTTCAAGATAAACTACTAAAGCGCCATTAGCAGATGTGTGTGCGTGTATATATATATATATATATATATATATATATATATATATATACACACACTTGATATAGAAAAGTTTATGGCCAAACAATATTTTTTCTAACGGTTAATGAGAGTGCTTCCCATCCTCACCAATGCTGGGAAATTTCTAGAATTTCTCAACAGATCAGGCATCCGCATCACAGCATCCTTGATGGTTGCTATTGTTTTGTTAAGTATTTATACATACATATTTATTTTTATATATATATATATATATATGTGTAAATTTTATTGGGGAACAGTGTATTTTTCCAGGACCCATCAGCTCCAACTCAAGTAGTTGTTTCAATCTAGTTGTGGAGGGTGCAGCTCTTTGGCCCATGTGGGGATCGAACCAGCAATCTTGGTGTTATGAGCACTGCACTCTAACCACCTGAGCTAACTGGCCGCCCCTAGTCTATCTTTTTTAAACAAACACCTACAGAGTACTTACTATGTGTCAGAGACTGTTCTCGGTGTTTTTATGAATATTAACGTAATCGTTATAATAACCCAATGAAGGGGTACTGTTATTATTCTTAACTTACAGATGAGGGACCTGCTAAGCATCATGAAGGTTGTACAGCTAGTACATGGTGGGGCCAGGGTTTGAACATTCCTGGTTCTTCCAAAGTCCACCCCCTTGCCTTCCATGCTTCTTGGAGCAAAGAAAACCTTAGCTGGCTAAGAAACGAATCTGGACAACGGGAGAGAGCCAAATCCTCACCACCTGGCCCCCTATATGTTCAGTATTTTGTATTTTAATTATTTTTTAAAATAACCACTCTGATTTTCTTTTAGGGTGTATCAAGGTCAGAAGAAATCAAAAGAAGCTCTGCCCCACTACCAAGAGGCCTTAGAATATATGGAGACCAGCAAAGGTGACAAAAGTCTCGAGTGCATTCCTGTATTGAGGGAATTAGCAGGTGTCGAACAAGCCCTGGGGTTTCATGACGCGTCCATCAACCACCTTTTACAGGTAAGCTGCGACGTATTAGCCACTAAAGTTGTTCTAGACCCCGTGCTTTTCATAGATACAAGGGAATAGCGGTTCTGAGAATGACTGGCTTTGTTGTTTGCTCTAGATAAGTAGAACACGGGCCTACAAACATCTTTGTACAGATGGCCAAGTGGGTGAGCGTGGGATACCAGTCGCTGTTAGCCAGGTGTACGTTCCACAGACAGCCTGAGATTTGCTGAAGGTGGCTTTGTTCATACTAGGTGCATCATTTAAGTCTTATTTCCCAGACAAAGTTTCCTCATCCTTTAGTATGTATCTGTTCAGCGCTTATGTTATCACACTGATTCGGGTTCTTTCCTACTACACTGTAAAACCTTTACCTGAAGCCACTTAGAGCTGTCACCTGTTAGCTGCTGCTCTGCTTTATCATTATAAGATTCCTCTGTGAATGTGTCAGTCAGGCTTCTCCAGGGAAACAGAACCAATGAAATATACACATGTAGAGAGAAAGATGGTTTTAAGGAATTGGCTCACACAATTGTGGGGCGGACAAGTCCGAAATCCTTCAGGTGGGCGGGCCAACTGAAAACTCAAGCCAGATGTTACAGTCTTGAGGGAGAATTCCTTCGTCTCTGGGAAACCTCAGCTTTTTGCTGTTTAGGTCTTCAGCTGGTTACATGAGGCCCACTCATGTTATTGAGGGTAATCTCCTTTACTCAGCTGTCAGTCACATCTACAGAATACATTCACAGCTACATCTAGACGAGTGTTTGACCTCACAATTGGGCACTACAGCCAAGCCAAGTTGGCACATAAAATTAACCATCACAGTGAGTTGGATGTTTTTGGATCAAATCATTTGCTGAAAGCACATCTGAAATTGTTTTCTGAGAATTTTTTTCTGTTGAAGTTGTAAAATATACACAAATTAATTCCTGTCATTTCAAATGAGATATAATGACATGGTGCTGAGAGTCCTTCATTGCTATTTTTTAAAAACTTATCTGACCTTTATACTCCCACCCACAGTTTATTAGAGTGTCCCATTCTATCACTTTACCTGGATTATCTCTCTTAAATATTACTACCACCCTTTGACATTATTTCCAGGTTATACTGGGTTGTCAGAAAAGTCATGACCGTATTTTTTCTGTGCTTTTTGTTGCAAAATGCGTCATGACTTTTCCGACAGCCCAATAGATAAAGAAGTCATGCATTAGAAAGGTTGAAGGATATGTCCAGGAGTACCATTTGTGCAAATAAATGGCATAACCCAGATTCAAACCCAGTATTTTTAGAAAGATGATTCTGGCTGATACACAGAGAATGGACTGGGGAGGGTGTGCTGAGCGTGAAAGTGGAGGGACAGTTAGGAGGCTCTGGGAAGTAGTAAAGGTTAAAGCTGACGGTGGCTTGACCTAGGGTGGTGATTGTAATGGTGAAGAGAAGCAGGTGGGTTTGACAAGGTTTAGGAGCCAGAATTGATGAGATATGGAGATGGATTTGGATGTGGGGAAGAAAGGGGAGGTGAAAAGTCAAAGGTGACGCCTGGGTTTCTGGTCTGAACAACTGAGCAGAAACCATGTGTCCCATCTATAGTGTGTGACTGCGTGATGGAGCCATGGTGAGTCTGAGCTGCCAGTGAGGCATACAGGTGTAAATGACAGCTAGACAGTTAGGTATTCAAGACTGGAGCTCAGAAAACAGGTCAGGAAGTCACATATTTGTACACAGTAATTGCCCTGGGATGAGATCACCTGGTGGGTAATGGAGTGAGAAGACAAAAGGACTGATGATGGGGGACTTCCGGTCTTCATTGGTCAAGTGAAGAAGGATAGCCAGGCAAAGGAAACAGAGGAATTTGCAAAAAAAAAAAAAAAACATGAGGCCAAGTAAAAATGAAAGTGATGTCTTCATTTCTGTCTTTTGATCTCTTTTGCTGCTATGGAGGACATGGAGTTGTTGGGAAGATAAATGAGTCTTGTGCCAAGTGCCTAGCACAGTGCCTGGTATATCACGGCACTATGGATTTAAAAAATGTCTCCCTTTCCTTTCTTTTTCTTTCTCTGATGACGTTGTTGTGGGAGACACTGGGGTGATGAGGACCGAAACCAGATTGTATAGTAAGTAATAAATGTAGATAATTTATCAGTTTCAAAAGTGCTAAGAGGTAAGGAAGACTGACCCCTCCCGAGGGACAAGCATGCATGCTTAGGTCTGAAGGTGACAGAGAGCTTGACATTTAGGGAACTGAAAGATTTTTTATCTAAGTTAAAAGGATGTCTCTGTGCCCAGGTTATAGGGAGAGTCACTCATTTTTATAATACTTATAAAGTTTGATAGGTGATTTTTATTGTTATTTATTTATCTATTTGTTTGTTTGTAACGGTTTCCATGTGGCTTCTTCTTTATATCCTTAGTGATAAAACTTCTGTTCAGCCAGACTTTTCAGTTGGTTCTCCAGGTTGATTGTTCTATGATTTAGTTGTAATTTTAATGTGGTCTTGGGGGCAGGCAAGCACAGCGTTTTTCTATTCTACCATCTTGGATCCTTGAGCCCATTGTTTATTCTTGAGGATAATCAAGATCAGAGAGTGTTTAAATACATACTTGGTGATTACTACAAAAGAGATAGCTCGGTGAAGTCAAAATAGCATTGGATGGGGCAGCTGGTTAGCTCAGGTGGTTAGAGCACAGTGCTCATAATACCAAGGCTGCTGGTTCGATTCCCACATGGGCCAAGGAGCTGCACCCTCCACAACTAGCTTGAAATAACCACTTGACTTGGAACTGATGGTTCCTGGAAAAACACACTGTTCCCCAATAAAAAGAAAAAATAGCATTGGATTTGAAGTCAGAAAACCTGAGTTTGGAGTTCAGATTCTCTTGTTTGCCAGCTCTTTGATTATGTAAGTCATTTAACCTCCCAAGGAAACAAACAAAACCTACAAAAGACCCTAGCCACTTCACGGAACTGCTCAAAGATTTGAGATGGAAAGTGCTTTGTGAACCATTAGGCATGTCGCCAGCGTAAGCTACTTTCATTTATTAATAGTAAGCATTAAACATTTATCAAGGCTCCCCTTTTCTTTAGGAACTTTGCCTAAGATACAGAAGGTACAGAGTGGCCTCAGCTCTCCAAGGGAGCCCATGACTAAAGCCATTTATTAAGTACACACAAAGAAAGGAGGTTTTGTTATTTCCCCTCTTGTTTTTCACTCTTCATTCCTTTGGAGTGAGAGAAACACCCAGAGATTAAAGACCTTTATTTTCTGCAGAATGTAGAAAAGTCCCAAACTATTTTAGGAACTAACCCATTAAAATGGAGAAAAATACAGCAAGCCCCACAGAGCCACTGCACAAGGAAGGCAGCAGTCCCAGGGACCAATGAAAGCTGTCAGCCCATTGGTCGCTTTGCAGCAGGGGAGCTGTGAGAAACCCATGCAAATGTAATTGTTCCTGAAACTCCTCATGGCAGATTTTGGCAATGAAACCTTATTTTCCTATCCAGCAAGAAAATGACAGCATATCATTTCTGTGAGCGAGACTGTGTTTGTGGGTGTGTGTCTTCAAGGGGGTCTAAATTAACATCGTACGAGCTTACACTGCTTTTTCACAACTCTGACACTTGACTTGCATATCTCTTTTTTCAGTTTTCAGCGCAGCTCTGAAGTTTGATTTGCAAAGGGTAATGAAATAATTTATCAGTTACTCTACCAAAGCCTTTGGGGTCAGGACATCTGGCTTCAGGCTCCTGCCCTGGGGGAGTTAGTGGCCTTGGTCAGGCCTAGATGATAGTTGATCAATGCTCACACTGGCTCCTGGCAGGTTCAGACTACTCAGCAAATGGCAGCGTTTCTGACTGGGTCTTGTTAATTGCTGTGTATTTGCTAGAGCGTGCTAGTTTTAATTTTCAAAATCTCTGAACATACCAGCCTTTTTGTTTAAAATTAGAAAAGATGCAGAATGCAATTATGGTTTTATGCTTTATGCAAATGTTCTAAGAATGACATAAATCCAGGTGCCACACTGTTTCTTTTTAAGTAGCAACTATTTTTTTTTTTATAAAGATGATCATGCTCTTTCTATTTTAAAAAATCAAGCCCGGGACAATGATGGAGGGTTTAGACGTCAGGTCTGGTCTGCGAGGAGCAAGCTAGTGAGTGAGACAGACCTTAGTTGAATAATCACGTAGATGAGCCTAAAAATACCACTATGACGTGCGCCACAGGGAAAAGAGCTCCCAACAGGGCAGTGTGGCCTGATGTGGGAACCCATGAGGATTGATAGTGAGACACCCCAAAGGTTGAGGAGAGGCAAAAGGAGCCACTGTGGGGAGAGCCCAGAGGGGGTGGTGGGAGACAAAGCCGAGTTAAGAGGAGGGGTGTGTGTGTGTGTTGTGTGTGTGTGTGTGTGTGTGTGTGTGTGTGTGTGTGTGTGTGTGTAAGTGAATCAGTATTTCTGAAACGATACACAAGAAACTGTTGACAGCAGTAGCGATGAGGAGTCAGGCTAGGAAGGGGAAAAAGAGAGGATGAGGCTTCTAGACAGAAGGGAGAGAGCATTTAAAATTTTGTTTCTTCTCTTCTACCCCTTAGGATTTTAAAAATTATATTCAGGTATTGCTGCTGTAATCTAAAAACCAGGTTAAATTTTCAGAAAACACACACTTGCAACCAAAAGAGGATGAACACAGAAGCCCCCAACACAGCTGTTTTGGCGATAATCCTTACAGAGAGTAAGGCCTTTTCTCCCCCAGCCCTTTGGAGGAGCTAAAATTGACAGCTGGAGTGCTGCCACTCAGGACTTGCTCTGACTATTAAAAGAAACTGGCTCGGCCTGGGGCCCTGAGAACTCAGTTTTCGAATGCCTTGTGTACCCAGCGACTTCCCTTCCGCCTACTCCCCCGGGGATTCCCAGCTCCACCTTCTCTCAGCCAAGGCTCTCGGCTGCCCCACGCCCCTGCGTGTGTGTGGCCATGAAAGGGTTCCCTGCTGGGCTGAGCTGGGAGAGGACCG